ATGGAAGAATGTGCCAGTACATTGGTATAACTGAAATTATCGAATAAAGGTGACAAAACATTGGTTTCAGTGTAATTATGGTAGGAAGGTGGTTAACAGTAATTGGGGAAGTGTAATTAAGGAGAGGTGCCAGTACATTGGTTTTAGTGTAATTATGGAAGGAAGATTGCCAGTACATTGGTTTTAGTGTAATTATGGAAGAAGGTGGTGCCAGTACATTGGTTTCAGTGTAATTAGGTGGTTAACAGGAATATTGGAAGTATACATTGGTTAACAGTGTAATTATGGTAGGAAGGTGGTTAACAGGAATTGGTGTTCAGTGTAATTATGGTAACAGACTGGTGGAAGGTATTGGTTTCAGTGTTTACAGGAATTGGTGCCAGTAATTGGTTTAGTGAATTAGGTAGTTAAGAGGATTGGGGAAGGTATGGAAGGAAGGTGGTTAACAGATTGGTTTTAGTGTAATTATGGGGAAGGTATTAAGGTTTTAGGTAATTATGGTAGACTGGTGCCAACATTGGTTTTAGTGTAATTATGGAAGAATTGGTGCCAGGACATTGGGTGTAATTATGAAGGAAGGTGGTTAACAGGAACAGGTTGGAAGGAAGGTGGTAACAGGAATGGGGGAAGGTATGGAAGGAAGGTGGTTAGTACAGGAATAGGGAAATTATGGTAGAAGGTGTTAACAGGAATGGGGAAGGTTAGGAAGGAAGGTAGATTAACAGGACATTGGGAAAGGTATGGAAGGAAGGTGGTTAAACAGGAACTGAAGTTATGAAGGAAGGTGGTAACAGGAATGGGGAAGGTATGGAAGGAAGGTGGTTATTGAACAGGTGGTTAACAGGAATGGGGAAGGAATCATAACAAGGAAGGTGGTTAACAGGAATGGGGAAGGTATGGAAGGAAGGTGGTTAACAGGAATGGGGAGGTATGGAAGGAAGGTGGTAACAACATGGGGAAGTGTATGGAAGGAATATTGGTATTGAGGTTTGAACAGTTTGGTTAACAGGAATGGGGAAGGTATGGAAGGAAGGTGGTTAACAGGATCAGGGGAAGGTATGGAAGAGGGTGATTAACAGGAATGGGGAAGGTATGGAAGGAAGGTGGTTAACAGGATCAGGGGAAGGTATGGAAGGAAGGTGGTTAACAGGAACGGGAAAGGTATGGAAGGAAGGTGGTTAACAGGAATGGGGAAGGTATGGAAGGAAGGTGGTTAACAGGAATGGGGAAGGTATGGAAGGAAGGTGGTTAACAGGAACGGGGAAGGTATGGAAGGAAGGTGGTTAACAGGAATGGGGAAGGTATGGAAGGAAGGTGGTTAACAGGAATGGGGAAGGTATGGAAGGAAGGTGGTTAACAGGAATGGGGAAGGTATGGAAGGAAGGTGGTTAACAGGAATGGGGAAGGTATGGAAGGAAGGTGGTTAACAGGAATGGGGAAGGTATGGAAGGAAGGTGGTTAACAGGATCAGGGGAAGGTATGGAAGGAAGGTGGTTATGGAAGGAAGGTGGTTAACAGGAATGGGGAAGGTATGGAAGGAAGGTGGTTAACAGGAAGGTATGGAAGGAAGGGGAAGGTGGGGTATGGAAGGAAGGTGGTTAACAGGAATGGGGAAGGTATGGAAGGAAGGTGGTTAACAGGAATGGGGAAGGTATGGAAGGAAGGTGGTTAACAGGATCAGGGGAAGGTATGGAAGGAAGGTGGTTAACAGGAACAGGAGAAGGTATGGAAGGAAGGTGGTTAACAGGAATGGGGAAGGTATGGAAGGAAGGTGGTTAACAGGAATGGGGAAGGTATGGAAGGAAGGTGGTTAAGAGGAACAGGAGAAGTTATGGAAGGAAGGTGGTTAACAGGAATGGGGGAGGTATGGAAGGAAGGTGGTTAACAGGAACGGGGAAGGTATGGAAGGAAGGTGGTTAACAGGAATGGGGAAGGTATGGAAGGAAGGTGGTTAACAGGAATGGGGGAGGTATGGAAGGAAGGTGGTTAACAGGATCAGGGGAAGGTATGGAAGGAAGGTGGTTAACAGGAATGGGGAAGGTATGGAAGGAAGGTGGTTAACAGGAACAGGGGAAGGTATGGAAGGAGGGTGGTTAACAGGAATGGGGAAGGTATGGAAGGAAGGTGGTTAACAGGAATGGGGAAGGTATGGAAGGAAGGTGGTTAACAGGAACAGGGGAAGTAATGGAAGGAAGGTGGTTAACAGGAATGGGGAAGGTATGGAAGGAAGGTGGTTAACAGGAATGGGGAAGGTATGGAAGGAAGATGGTTAACAGGAATGGGGAAGGTATGGAAGGAAGGTGGTTAACAGGATCAGGGGAAGGTATGGAAGGAAGGTGGTTAACAGGATCAGTGGTAGGTATGGAAGGAAGGTGGTTAACAGGGACAGGAGAAGGTATGGAAGAGGGTGATAAACAGGATCTGGGGAAGATTTAGAAGTAATTTTGAATGAACAGTAGAGGGCTGGTGCTGACTTTAATACATTGGTTAATTTGATTCAGTAGTGATTTTGAAATGAATTTTATTAAATAATCCTTCCATCAGGTATTTTCCTGTCTTTCCTTTATGTTATTGAACTGCTTTACAAGCCTTAACGACTTGTATATATGTACTAAATCTAGCAGACATTTGCATGCATACTATATTACCACTTACAACAAATTTATGACTTTTTCAAATCAGATCTTGGAGTTGAATGCATGCAATGAATAAGAATTTGACTTATGCATACATTGTCAATACTAAAACCCCAATGAAAAACGTCGTAAGGGAACACTCTCGCGACTGATCGAATGTAAATTGATTGTGATCAAATCAATAAAAGGGTATGTAAATACATTAGCTGACGGGCCTCAACAATTTCAATCACATTTCAGTGTTGAAATTTTTATCAGGTAATTGTTGGATTGGGAAGGGGACATGAAAAGTCAGCCATCAATACACCTGGACCTGTCAGTGCCTGCCTGGCAAGCTCTCAGGTACACCTTGTGTTCCAGTCGCTGAGAATCTCATGCCAGGACATAACCTTGTACAATCATTTACCTTTATGAGGAAGGTCTCTTGTTTGCTGTTTATTCAGCTTTTGATTGATTTTAGGGATGAAATCAATAATTCAATATTGAAAATGAACCAAAACAATGGTGAAAATATTCTGCTTCAGTGAAGTGCTAGGACCATCTGGACTACATAAAAAATAGTCTAGTGATGGTTTTTAGACTTTCCAAGTATAAAATTCTCTTTGTAGTTGCTTGATATTTTATTATGAAATTTCTAATCATGTAAGTCTCTCTGTGATTATTTCCCCGATGGATTGGTTAAAGAAATGACAAGTTTAACTTTCATAACAAAAACAATGTACTTTATTTACATAGTCTTCTCAACTTAAAGACAACAGAAATGATAAATAATTTGATATCATCACTTCATTCTTAACATAAACAGTTGTAATGTTTTACTACCACAAAATAAAAATAAATTACAGACTGGAACGCTTTACAACAAACAGTAGTGTGTTAGAGGTTCTGTTCACTATTGTAGGGTTAAGCTAGCTGTGTGTACAGGTATATACCCTGGTACTGCCATACAGGTGTACCTGATGACCTACCCGGTCATCACATCAACGTACCAAACAATGCAATTAGTGATGATAACTTTACATGTATTTTTCGTCTTTTTGTTTTGTTTCCCATAGATGGTCAGCCATTATGATTGTAACTGACCGGTATGTACTTAATAAATATGACATCAAATCATACAAAACAGGCATCTTAAAAAACCTTACACCACCATGTAAGCTAACAATGTTGACAGGTGCCTCCATCCATGATAATTAAATTTACATGTCCATGTATTTCCTATACAGTTATCAACGCATGAAGAATGAAGGATAAAAAGGTTATTAGGATTGAGTTTTCTAATTGGTATTATTGTAAGGGACCACCCGTCAAGCAATCAAGGTAGTCAAAATGTCAGGTTAATGGCAGGTTATAGGGTTAAGTATAGGTTATAGGGTTAAGTGTAGGTTATAGGGTTTAGTCTAGTTATAGGGTTAACTAAAGTTTATAGGGTTAAGTTTAAGTTAATTGTTAAGTGTAGGTTATAGGGTTAAGTGTAGGTTATAAAGGTAAGTGTAGGTTATAGGGTTAAGTGTAGGTTATAGGGTTAAGTGTAGGTTATAAGGTTTAGTGTAGGTTATAGGGTTAAGTGTAGGTTGTAGGGTTAAGTGTAGGTTATATGGTTAACTTAAGATTATAGGGTTAAGTGTTAGTAAAGGGTTATGTGTGGGTTATAGAGTTTAGTTTAGGTTGTAGGGTTAAGTGTATGTTACAGGGTTTAGTCTATGTTATAGGGTTAAGTGTAGGTTATAGGGTTAAGTGTTAGTAAAGGGTTATGTGTGGGTTATAGAGTTTAGTCTAGGCTATAAGGTTAAGTGTAGGTTATAGGATTAAGAGTAGGTTATAAGGTTGAATGTACATGTTAGTGTTAAGGTGTTGGTTAAGTGAAGGTTGAATCAAAGTACAGAATATAGGGCTGTTTGGATTGTAAACTATGTATGTGCGACTATACGTCCTTTGTAAGTTAATGGTAGGTTAAATGTAGATATATGTAGTATATGGGATACATGTGAGTGAAGGGATACATAAAGGTTGTAGGATACATCTAGATTATACAAGAAATGTAGAAACCATAAAGACTTTAGAATATATATAGGTTATACATATAGGCTATAGAATACATAAAGATTATAGAATACATATAGCTTATACATATAGGCTATAGAATACATGAAGGTTTTAGGATACCTGTAGTTTATAAGATACAGGATGATTATAGCATATATATATAGGTTATACAAGGGTAGATGTTAGAAGTCCTAATAAGTAAGATGTACAAGTGTAGGTTACACAGAGGTCAAAATATTGGATATTGTGGATATTGAGTAAAGTTATAGGTTTAATTTAGGTTGTTTTATTCATTTTTTTTATGTCTGTATGTTTCAGGCTCCAGGGAAGATACGTCTGCGAGTATTATGGAACGTCTCCAAAGGAACTGTGAAGCGTGGTTTGATGAAAGTTTATGGACCGAGACATGTGAAAACATGGGCACAGGAAATTGTGGTCCTGGGCATGCTCAGAAAGGCTCAGCACCCCAGTCTGCTCCAGTGTCTGTGGACAAGCAGCTCCAACCCATATTACGAAACAATGACCTTGATAACTGGCGAGGTCATCACCAGTGACTCCAGGTAGAGAAGATAGAGCACATTATTCTCAAGTAGTTATGACAGAATGAGAATGAACTTCTGTTGATTGTTCTAGGGGTGGTAAAAATTGCATCATGACACTACATGTAGTTTTTTTCTTTATAGGCATGACCTTTGACCTTGTTCGTATATTTGTGTTACAGAATCATTTGTCTGGAGCTGACCAATAATGGGACACTACAGGACTTTCTGTACCGACTGGACACTGCCTTACCAGAGACCTGTCAGAGGATGATTGTACATGACATTGCTGAGGGACTCATGTGTCTACATGAGCAGAATATTCTCCATGGCAACCTCTCAACAGCCTGTGTCTACCTTAAGGGCTCCCTCCCAGTGAGTTACTTCTCTTCAAGACTGACCAGAGAATCTCTAGATCTACTCAAGACATCATCTGACCTCTCCTGTCATCATATTCATAAATCCTCCAAAGAATTTGTTTACTTAGATCCTTTAAAAAAAATATTTTGTGTCTGACCCTTTCCCTTGAATATGATTGATTTCTTGTCTCTTTGAATCTTAAAAGATATGTTTAGTAAACAAAAAAGTTATATAGACCTCTAAAAGAAAATTGAGCAAATTAATACTGTCCTTTTGACTTCCTATGTTTTTCTGTATACTTGTCATGCCAGCAGGATTGGTAAACAATATACGGTTCTAATCTACTAAACCACCTGGCCAGTATTTCTGATGACTGGTGTAGATTATTCCAACATTTACACGGGTTAGTGCATCTATATATGGCCCCTCTAGTGTAGACATTGTGTGTGGTTGTCTGAAGGTCCTGTCACCCATCAACACCTCTCAGTACTGGAGGTCTACAGATTACAGACAGATTACATTGTCTTGGATCACTAGATTTATTTATATATAGTTACTATAACAGACCATTAACGAAACAATGACTCATTAGATCTAGGAATAGATCTGGATCTAGAAAGGGGAGATCATTAAGGCTATTTCTGTATTGCTGATCATATACAGCTGTTTAAAGTGCCACAAAACAAGAGTATAATGTAGATAAAATAACAGATACACTATAAAAAAGGGAGACAACTCCCAAATATTCATGATGATAGGTCAGAGATTAAGATTAACAGAAGTTGAAATTTTATATGAAAAAAATAAATAATCATGAAATAAACATAAATGTCACTGATTGAAATTCATCATAATGCCGTGACAGAAAATCTATGTAAACGGAGTTTGTTATAGGGTCAGTGTCTTCACAGAGTGAGCTGATGGAGCAATTACTTATGAGTAAGGGGAAAGGACAATGTTTTTAGAATCGTTTATGCTATTTTCTTTCAAAAGTATATTCTCATCTGTACGAGGAATCACAACGACAAACAAGTGGAATGGCCTTCAGTGATATATATATATTACAATATAGGCATACATGTTCTTGTGAGTAAACAGAAGAAATAGTATCACAACAGACTGATATCACTATATGTATTACACTTAACACAAAGTGGCATACATACAATTATATTGTGTCACACACTATCATCTCACTTGTCAAACGTGATGTTTTCTGAGATAGAGATGAGACATTTATTTTATAATTACAATCAGACATTCATGTTTTGTGTATTATTGGATCTATAGATATACTGTAAATTCATTAATATTCGTGGGTATTTATCTTGATTCAATTCATAGTTACCCTTAATCCACCAATTCACATCTCCAAAAATGATATATAATTCAAATTCAACATTGATTGTAGTACTAGTGTATTACAAGAATTATCAAGTGTCAACTAACCTCTCTCCTCCAAAAACAATTTAGATTTTACAGTAATATTCAGTAAACACATGTTACATCCTGCACTTTGTTTTTATCTAATTAAGTGTTTTTTTTACACTTTTTCAGAGCATGGTGATGAGGGCAGCCATTGGAGACTTTGAGGATTCACAGATATTTGGTTCTATCCACCAAAATAGCGATACTGTCACTCTTGCAGATAAGAGACACTTTTTCTTACCTGACATTCGTTCATTTGCTCTGGTGGCTCTGGAAGTTGTATCAAAGATGTGTGAAAAGCGTTTCCTTAGCATGCAGTACCAGTGGAATAAGCAAGGGACCACAGACACCTATAGTGTGGCCAATCAGGGTACTGCTTACAACCCTGCTGTTCAAGGCTCAGCCAATCAGAGCATTGCTTACAGCTCCACTGTTCAGGGCTCAGTTAATCAGGGTTACATGGAAGTGTATCAAAGTGATTCTGATGAGGAGGACAACTTGCTTTATCGTGGCAGGCGACAACCTCCAGGTGTGCAGTCCCCTGGTGAAGTCATAGAAGAAATAGGTCGACGCAGTCGCAGCATGTCACCAAGGAGTCGTCCCCAGTCTGCTCAGTCTAACAAGAGTCGGTCACGAACTTTGTCACCAGACAGAAATCGTGGCAAGTTCCTCAACTCTGTTCAAACAAACTATCCCAGTAGACTGGGTACGCCAGATTCTAACATCATTTCCCCAGAGGAGGAGTATCCATGTTTTCCTAAAAACACATCAGATGGTAAAATGTTCCAGGAACGCCCCTTATCACCTGAGCAACCATCATCAGGCAAAAGGTCACCAGGACGACCAAGGACTCCTTCAAAGAAATCTAAAAGTAAGGATCAAGCATTTGAAGCATTTGCTTCTGAAGGTAAAAAGAGTAAGTTAAAAGGATTGAAGAAAATTGACAGTAAAAAATGGCTTTCTAAGCCTGGTTCGTTAATAAGGACACTGACGGGTGCAGAAACCAGTGTATCTGTGTTCAAATCTAAAGAATTAAGAGACGATGATGCAGAGGAGATAGATGATGAGGAAATAGACTATGGACCACTCAGAACAAGACCAGCATTAATGGCTCGCAATGATTCCTCAAACTCAATCACATTTGAGAAGGATCGGTATTTACATCGCTCCTCATCCAAACAAAGTGACCAATGGAGTATCCTTAGTGATATGGATTATGGCACATCTCATGGACTCCGTAAAACTGTGTCTACAGACTCACGTTCCTCCATGTGGTCTAACTTACCCTTGCCTGTAGAGATGATTGACATTGAAGGGGGTGGGGAGGGAGATCACTTTGGAGAAATGATCAGTCAGTTACCAGGCATGGCAGACTCTTTAGATTATCACCCTGCCTCCAACAGGCCTGGGGATAACTGGAACCCAAAGTTTAATGGCTCTTACAAGCCTGGGGGGTACTGGAGACATGATGGGCCTGGACCATCACAGTTTGAACTAGTGGATTACTATGATGAACTGCAAGGAAAATATGTTAAAAAGTTACAGCTGCGAGGAGGTGTTCATCGAACGCTTTCTGGATCCCAAATCATTGGCACGCCTGTCCATCGAACTTACTCAGGTACACAGGTTTTACACAAAACCAGCTCTGGGCTTCAAGAGATTCTGGAGCAGGCAGAGAGCATGGAGGAAGAAGAGCAGCAACAGTCTATCAACCAAAACACACCATCCACCATCGATCAGCACACACCATCATCCATTAACCAAATCACAGCACCATCCATTAACCAAAACACAGCACCATCCATTAACCAAAACCAAACATCATCCATCGACCATAGTATATCTCAACCTGTGAAAAAGTTGAAGGCCAAGATATTAAAAGATGAAAAATCTGAAAAACTCTTGCGTTCAAAATCTCTGGAAAGAGTAACTCCACAAAAGAAAGCACAAATATCAAAAGAATTGTCCAAAAATGAACAGAGACCAGTTGTATCTGCTACTCCAGAGCCAATTATCAACCCTGAAATCTCTGCTCACAGGAGAGCTCGTGCTAGAAAGGCTTTAAAAGGGGCCCTCAGTAAGAACACTATGCCTCATGTTTTTCCTCAACAACGTGATTCTAAACGTGGACAAAAACGGGAAATGGAAGTTAAATATGCAAATGTGAAAAAACTGCAAACTCAGGGTAGCAATTTTGACAAAAATACAAATATGAATATTAATATGGACTGTGAAGCAGGAAAAGTAGAATTAGATGAGGGAGTAGAATCTAGTGAGAAACAGAAAGATTCTAATATATCTCCCGAGACATTGAGTGATTCTTTTCCGACAACTAGGGATGGACATGACCTTGTCACTGGTATTCGTAAATATCACAGCTTCAGTAGTAATGATAGTACAAGTAGCCTTGGCTCCAGTATCCGCCTGAAGAAGGCTGATGTGTCACTGACCAGTGGTGAGCTCACTTCTTTGTCATCACAGGCAGATCATGACATTGATGAACAAACGGGGCGTGACCCAGACTTACCGTCTAAGGAAGTTCTCTTACGAAGGACTATGCAAAACAAGGCCAAAGTGGTTGACAGTGGTTTTGACAGCGAGAGCAGTGAGGTTTCATCAGATGTGTATCATCAGCATTACAATTTCTCTTCAGATGACTCTGCCTACCCTGATCACAGGGACCGGCGATTACCTAGGAAACCGTTCCGTAACGTGTTAAAGAAACCCAGTGATACCAGTGAGTTACCAGTCTCTGAGAAAGCATTTGTCATTACTGGTTTCAGTACAGGAAGTACAACTGTACCAGAGACCTATAACCCTGGTGATGGAGATAATGTTGAAATAGAAATGGGCGTTGATGACAGAGTTTCTGTCATTGTTGATAGTGTGGTGAGAGACAAGGACTTTGCTAATGAAGTGTCAGATGAGGAAGTATTAGAGGATGATTTGATGGGTTCTCAAGGAAAATCAAGAATCATTCAAGTGTCTGCTGCCCCACTTACTGTTATAAGTATTGACCAGAAGGCATTCCAAGAACAAATACATGACAATAGTCCAGTGCCTCCTCTAACAGGAAGCTACAAAACACCAACATCTGTTGAAGATCGACCACCAACACCTGGAAAGTCTGGGTACAGACAAGCAATGCCGTTCTCTTCTATTGAAGACAGACCACCAACTCCTGGCCGGTCAGGATACAATCATCAGAAAAACACAACTGCTGATAGTCAGACAACCCCTTGTCAGTCAATCCATAATCGCCCCAAAACTCCCCTTCGAAGGCAAAATTTGCAGATGGAGATCAAAGCAGGCATGCAACATGCGAGCCCTCTAGTGGCCAGTAAACGGTATCGTGAATTAACCATGAAGGGAGTTCCATTGCGGGTGTCAGTTATATCAGCAGATGACGAGGAGAAGTGTACCAAGGAAACAAACGTCGATGAAGAAGACCAAGAGAAATTAAAGCAGAGAAATGAAGAACTGATTGATAACCAAACAGATGATCAAAAACTATTTGATCATTTAGAATCAAATGGTTTCTTTCATTTGCCACCAAAGAAAATTAGAGAAAAAACGCTCTCTGGTGGCATCTTTCCAACAGCTCATATGTCTCGAAGAGATCAACATATGAAGAAAAGACGAGGTAGATCTCGTCCTAATAGACTCGCTTTGGATGAGATTATCCGTGAACTTCCTGAGGATAAGAGTCCTTCACCAAGACTCCTCTCACCAACTACAAACATTTTATCTAAGGACTCTTTCAACAGCCATTCTGGTAGTGAGGCAATGCTTAACCAACCATCCTCTATGGATGAATCTGAAAGTGTCCACTTGAATCCTGCCCACCACATGTCACCAATGGCTAACAAGCAATCAGTTGTGGTTGATGCAGAACTATACATAGATCGTGTATACTCTCAAACACAAAGCATTGATCCCAAACCTCGACAAGTACCCATGATGGACCCGGACTTTGATGTGCCAATTAGCCCTGAAAACCAGGGCCATTCATCTGTCTCCTATTTACCTGTGAGTCAAGAGTCACATCCAGATGGCTCATTTACTCGTGAGGAGTTGGAGGAGGATGATGAGGAGGAGGTTGCACTGCTGAGTGGAATGGATGATAAACACATCCTCAGTTGCCACAAACTTACCTCTGACATGCATTTGCTCTCCTTCAATGACCTCCTGCCAGCCAGAAAGGAAAATTTTGAGATCCTCAAGGCCAAGCTACATGAGTGTGGGCAGCTGGGAAGTATTGGGTTCCAAGTAAGTACATCATCTTAAAATATTCTTGTTAGCATTCTAGTAACTAGTAGACAATAAAGTTGAGTATTACATTTATTGGTGATACATGATTGTGTTGAGATTGACATGTATTTCGTTAATCGCCTTGCATACGTTTTGGGTGTCCAACTTTATTTGCAGTGCTCCACTGAAGAACACAACCATTTGGTAACTGATGTTGGCTCTGTGTTCAAGTTTAATCATTCTAGGTATATAATACATTCTCTACACTGTCTTCAAATGTTTACATGCTTGTCTCCATATGTCTATACTGCCTCCATGTGTCTGTAAGTCTGTTTCAATGATTCTTTATTCCTGTCGCTATGTGTTCATACTTTCTTCATGTGTCTGTAAGGCTGTCTCCATTTGTCTACGTTGTTTACAAATGTTTATCCTGCCTTCTTAAGTTTTTATTTTTTCTATGTATCTGCAATGTCTGCAGATGTTTATACTGTCTTCATATGTCTCTATTGTCTCCATATGTCTGTAAGTATGTCTTCATATATCTGTAAACCCTCATTTCAATATGTCTATCTTCTATCTAAATCTCCACATGTCTGAAATATGTCAATGTCAGAGTTGTAACATGACCTTTCTGTTTGCAGCTCCTTGAGGTCATACATAAGTGCTGGCTGAATGAATTACCTCCCTCTTCCTCTGACCTCGTCACACAGCTACTAGACCCAGTCACAGAGACAGAGCTATGATTCAAGGCAATTAAGGACCTCCCTCCTGACCTCTGACCTCGTCACCTCATCACAGACCTCTGAGAAATAGCATAATGCAGGACATACATGTACCTAATATCATTGTGCATATAATGTGTTAAAATTGGTGGTATTTGTTTAATAACAACAAATTAAATTTGACTTAACTGCTCCAAATGTATACCAAATAATCTAAACTTATGGAATGTTTTTGTAAGCATCCTGGCACATCAACCAATTATTTGTGATTGAAATACAATGAACTACTAAAGTGTCATTACATCTATGGTGTCCTGTTCGGTGAAGTTGTGTCAACCCAGACACAGTATACATCACTGGTCAAAAAAATACTTCTCCAAATCTCTAAAACTGTAATTTGACATATGAACATTGTTTCTGCACTTTTTTTGGTGAGCAAAATTGAAGTATAACATTTTTTTTGAAAAAGGTATTTCTCATGAATATCAAAAGACCACTGGTTTCAAATAATACATCAAATAAGAAATTAATTTTGTATAGAAAAGCGGCAGGACACTGTACAAGAAACCTTTATAACACTGTGCCTTATTCTCATTCTCTGGTAACACTGTGCCTTATTCTCTATCCCTAGTAACAGGATTCCTTATTCTCATTCTCTGGTAACACTGTGCCTTTTTCTCTATCCCTAGTAACAGGATTCCTTATTCTCCATACCTGTTAATAATGTACCTTATTCTCTGTCCCTAGTATTATGGTGCCTTATTCTCAGTCCCTCATTACATGGGGCCTTATTCACCATACTTGGTAACATGGGGCCTTATTCACCATCCCTGGTAACATTGGACCTTATTCTCCATCCTCAATAACATGATTCTTTATTCTCCATCCCAGGGTACATGTACCTTTTTCTCAGTCCCTCCTATTATAGTGCCTTATTCTCCATATCAGGTTACATCATGTCTTATTCCCTGTCACTGGTAACATGGGGCCTTATTCACCATCCTTGGTAAAATAATTCCTTTTTCTTCATCACTTGTAACAAGGTAAATATACTTTTTCTCGGTTCCTCGTATTATAGTGCCTTATTCTACATATCAGGTTACATGGTGTCTTATTCTCCTAATAACATAGGGCCTTATTCTCCGTCCCTGGTAAAATGGTGCCTTAATTTATGTTTGATTTTTCCATTGTAATAAGCATATCTGTGATACTTCATCTCCGCCCCTACTTGTATATAATCACTTAGAATTTCAAGTCATAATAGATACTCAGTGTCCATAACTTGAGCTATTTCAAATATTGGGTCACAGATTTATTTTATATATTGGGCCACAAGTTGATTGCAAAGTACTGGATCTCAGTTTGATTGTTAAGTATTGAACTATAGTTTGATCTCTGGGCCACAGTTTGTTAGCTATGTACTGGGCCTCAGTTTGTTAGCTATGTACTGGGCCACAGTTTGTTAGCTATGTACTGGGCCACAGTTTGTTAGCTATGTACTGGGCCACAGTTTGTTAGCTATGCCACAGTTTGTTAGCTATGTACTGGGCCACAGTTTGTTAGCTATGTACTGGGCCACAGTTTGTTAGCTATGTACTGGGCCACAGTTTGTTAGCTATGTACTGGGCCACAGTTTGTTAGCTATGCCACAGTTTGTTAGCTATGTACTGGGCCACAGTTTGTTAGCTATGTACTGGGCCACAGTTTGTTAGCTATGTACTGGGCCTCAGTTTGTTAGCTATGCCACAGTTTGTTAGCTATGTACTGGGCCTCAGTTTGTTAGCTATGTACTGGGCCACAGTTTGTTAGCTATGTACTGGGCCACAGTTTGTTAGCTATGTACTGGGCCTCAGTTTGTTAGCTATGTACTGGGCCACAGTTTGTTAGCTATGTACTGGGCCACAGTTTGTTAGCTATGTACTGGGCCACAGTTTGTTAGCTATGCCACAGTTTGTTAGCTATGTACTGGGCCACAGTTTGTTAGCTATGTACTGGGCCACAGTTTGTTAGCTATGTACTGGGCCACAGTTTGTTAGCTATGTACTGGGCCTCAGTTTGTTAGCTATGTACTGGGCCACAGTTTGTTAGCTATGTACTGGGCCTCAGTTTTGTTAGCTATGTACTGGGCCACAGTTTGTTAGCTATGTACTGGGCCACAGTTTGTTAGCTATGTACTGGGCCTCAGTTTGTTAGCTATGTACTGGGCCACAGTTTGTTAACTATGTACTGGGCCACAGTTTGTTAGCTATGTACTGGGCCTCAGTTTGTTAGCTATGTACTGGGCCTCAGTTTGTTAGCTATGTACTGGGCCACAGTTTGTTAGCTATGTACTGGGCCACAGTTTGTTAGCTATGTACTGGGCCACAGTTTGTTAGCTATGTACTGGGCCACAGTTTGTTAGCTATGTACTGGGCCACAGTTTGTTAGCTATGTCCTGGGCCACAGTTTGTTAGCTATGTACTGGGCCACAGTTTGTTAGCTATGTACTGGGCCACAGTTTGTTAGCTATGTACTGGGCCACAGTTTGTTAGCTATGTACTGGGCCTCAGTTTGTTAGCTATGTACTGGGCCTCAGTTTTGTTAGCTATGTACTGGGCCACAGTTTGTTAGCTATGTACTGGGCCACAGTTTGTTAGCTATGTACTGGGCCACAGTTTGTTAGCTATGTACTGGGCCTCAGTTTGTTAGCTATGTACTGGGCCACAGTTTGTTAGCTATGTACTGGGCCACAGTTTGTTAGCTATGTACTGGGCCTCAGTTTGTTAGCTATGTACTGGGCCTCAGTTTTGTTAGCTATGTACTGGGCCACAGTTTGTTAGCTATGTACTGGGCCACAGTTTGTTAGCTATGTACTGGGCCACAGTTTGTTAGCTATGTACTGGGCCACAGTTTGTTAGCTATGTACTGGGCCACAGTTTGTTAGCTATGTACTGGGCCACAGTTTGTTAGCTATGTACTGGGCCACAGTTTGTTAGCTATGTACTGGGCCACAGTTTGTTAGCTATGTACTGGGCCACAGTTTGTTAGCTATGTACTGGGCCTCAGTTTGTTAGCTATGTACTGGGCCTCAGTTTGTTAGCTATGTACTGGGCCACAGTTTGTTAGCTATGTACTGGGCCACAGTTTGTTAGCTATGTACTGGGCCTCAGTTTGTTAGCTATGTACTGGGCCTCAGTTTGTTAGCTATGTACTGGGCCTCAGTTTGTTAGCTATGTACTGGGCCACAGTTTGTTAGCTATGTACTGGGCCACAGTTTGTTAGCTATGCCACAGTTTGTTAGCTATGTACTGGGCCACAGTTTGTTAGCTATGTACTGGGCCACAGTTTGTTAGCTATGTACTGGGCCACAGTTTGTTAGCTATGTACTGGGCCTCAGTTTGTTAGCTATGCCACAGTTTGTAAAGCTATGTACTGGGCCACAGTTTGTTAGCTATGTACTGGGCCACAGTTTTATTATATGACACCAGTTTATGATCACTTACATAGAACGATTTTAGCTCATACCATTTTACTAACACAGAAATAGACACCAGTTCATACCATGTCACAAATGCACTTAGTTGTTCATATCATGTCACTAACACTGGCACACAAAAAATTATCTTTTTATGTCTGCAGCTGTAGCAGTTGTTTGGTCAGTATCCACTTGTGCAGACATCAAGAGTATGAAACAATGTGTAAAAAGCATACAAGTCATGTTCAATATAGCACATATTATGTATTCCATAAAAATTTATAATTCATTGTTCACTTACTAAATCAATAACATTCTTTTTAAATCTACAATGTAAACAATGTTTATTTATACAACTACATGGTATACAAAACATACTTGTATTGTACCAAATGGGGTCATTTATACATATCTAAAAATTTTAACAATAAAATGAAACCATTTGCTAAATTAAAAATGTAACATGCCACAAAATGTTTGTGGTAGGGTGTCTCCTCTCCCTTACAAAAGGTATTCTGCCCAAGTTATCTTTATCCATTGTAATCATGGTGATATGCTACAGGTAAATTTACGTTAGATTACTTGTGTGGTAAGTGACTGCTCTGTTACCAATTTGTTACTATTGTAGACTCATTTTATAAACAATATTCATCATGTTGATTGTAATTGTTATTAAGTTTTATCCATACATTTTTATGTAAACCAAATTGTTTATTTATTAAAATTATTGATATTTATCACGCTTTTTGTCTTCTTGTCTATTCTAATTTCTTACTAGACTTTGATGTCAAAATTTTCCATTTGGCTGTGATTTTTCTCATTTTGTTTATTTTGTGTCTGTAAGTATCCCTTACACACCCAGGGTTTCCTCAGCAACACCAGAATATATATAACTATAGAGCATATCACACTGGTCCTTAGACAAAGGTATCATTGGGTTATGTTCTAGACATGGATGCGAAGGTGTTTATTGAGGGAAGATATCAAAGGTGATAAAGGTTATCATGGCATTATTTTATAGACATGGATGCTTAGGTGTTTACAGAGGGAAGATATCAAAGATGTTTGTGATAGGAACATATCTAAAAGTATTCATAGAAAGAGAAGTTAGCAAAGATAAATTAATAATAAAAACAATGTTAAATGGTTATCTATGACTGGGATGTTATTGGATCTGAGGTGTTCCTAACTGGAGATAAAATAAGTTAAATTTGAGACATTTTAGGGCATTTTTTAGAATACGTTATACTTTACAGAGAAATGCTATTCAAGCATAATTTTACCACTTGTTTGCATACAGGCATTTACATTTCCTGATGTATCCCATAGGCCATATACATGTATAAGCATAGTGTCTGAATGGTTGCACAGTCCTATCTAGATCCTGGAAGACAAATTCAGCAACATGTTGTAGATAAATACAGCGTATTACCGTCAGTAGCATAGAGAATAATTCGCTTGGTAATCTAGAAGGTATTACAACTGGCAACATATCACAGCATGAGTACTGATAGATAGGTGAGAAAATACCACCCCAGTTAGTAAATATTTTACTTGAGGTACTTTGCTTAATTAATCTTAAAAAATTCAAATTTTATCACGGAATTACAGTGATTCAGTTTCATATCATTTGAATCAACATTTTGAAGACATCACAAAAACCTGGAAAAAATCAGACTATTAACATTATTTGAGATAAACTATCTGTAGATAGAAGGTTACTATTGAACAGAAACCAGTCAGGTCACATGAAAATGATTGTACAAATATGTTTTTTCTTAAAAAAAACAACATCTTATGAAACTTTAATGATCATACAAACAAAATATACCATAGAACAAAGTAGCTGCTTTTGTAACAAGAGACATGTTTAACAAATTGTAAAACAGTCATAATAACTTTCAATGGAAAAATAAAATAAAATTTAAGTTACAGTTCACAAAGCTCTCAATGAAAGCTTAGAGTATACAATTAAAGTCACATTCCTCCAAAGCTCCCAATGAAAGCTGTTCATCTTCATCAACATTTCTAGCAGTTTGTCTGCATTTGCCAGTCAGAAGTGACTGCACTGTAAATATACTCTATACTTACTCTAGTTAAATAACATATTTCCATTATCTTTAAAATAAGTATTACATTTTGTGTTATTTACATCATCACAAGATCAAATGATGTTGATAAATGATGGACATTACATGGGCAGAGATGAAATGACAATCGTATTATTTATAGCTATTTTTAAATAGCTGTGGAATAAACATTTATTCTTGGAACTGGCTGCCATATTTACAATATAACTCTAATCAAACTTCTATAGTAATTCTTGTATCATTTGCAAAACCTCAGAAATATGTATGATATCAGAGTTTTGTGTCAGTGTTACACATGTTGGACATTATTCTAGGGTAATTCATTCAAAATCTTAACTATGATGGTTTTCATAAATGCATCGAACAACCTGATAGGGCATCATCTAGTCTATATATCTTTCTTGAATCCAACATTTAACAATCATATAAAAATACACGGAGGTTTTCCAATCACCACAGGTCAGCAATCATAGGTCTACAGTGTTGGTTACAGGTCTACTGATCTAACAGTATTGGTTACAGGTCTACTGATGTCACAGTGTAGGTTACAGGTCTACTGATGTAACAGTGTAGGTTAAAGGTCTACTGATGTAACAGTGTAGGTTACAGGTCTACTGATGTCACAGTGTAGGTTACAGGTCTACTGATCTAACAGTGTAGGTTAAAGGTCTACTGATGTAACAGTGTAGGTTAAAGGTCTACTGATGTCACAGTGTAGGTTAAAGGTCTACTGATGTAACAGTGTAGGTTACAGGTCTACTGATGTCACAGTGTGGGTTACAGGTCTACTGATGTAACAATGTAGGTTAAAGGTCTACTGATGTAACAGTGTAGGTCACAGGTCTACTGATGTAACAGTGTAGGTCACAGGTCTACTGATGTAACAGTGTAGGTTAAAGGTCTACTGATGTAACAGTGTAGGTTAAAGGTCTACTGATGTAACAGTGTAGGTTAAAGGTCTACTGATGTAACAGTGTAGGTTACAGGCTACTGATGTAACAGTGTAGGTTACAGGTCTACTGATGTAACAGTGTAGGTTACAGGTCTACTGATGTCACAGTGTAGGTTACAGGTCTACTGATGTCATAGTGTAGGTTACAGGTCTACTGATGTAACAGTGTAGGTTACAGGTCTACTGATGTAACAGTGTAGGTTACAGGTCTACTGATGTCACAGTGTAGGTTACAGGTCTACTGATGTCACAGTGTAGGTTACAGGTCTACTGATCTAACAGTGTAGGTTAAAGGTCTACTGATGTAACAGTGTAGGTTAAAGGTCTACTGATGTCACAGTGTAGGTTACAGGTCTACTGATGTCACAGTGTAGGTTACAGGTCTACTGATGTCACAGTGTAGGTCACAGGTCTACTGATGTAACAGTGTAGGTTACAGGTCTACTGATGTCACAGTGTAGGTTACAGGTCTACTGATGTAACAGTGTAGGTTACAGGTCTACTGATGTCACAGTGTAGGTTACAGGTCTACTGATCTAACAGTGTAGGTTACAGGCTACTGATGTCACAGTGTAGGTTACAGGTCTACTGATGTAACAGTGTAGGTTAAAGGTCTACTGATGTCACAGTGTAGGTTAAAGGTCTACTGATGTAACAGTGTAGGTTACAGGTCTACTGATGTCACAGTGTAGGTTACAGGTCTACTGATGTCACAGTGTAGGTTACAGGTCTACTGATGTAACAGTGTAGATTACAGGTCTACTGATGTCACAGTGTAGGTTACAGGTCTACTGATGTAACAGTGTAGGTTACAGGTCTACTGATGTCACAGTGTAGGTTAAAGGTCTACTGATGTAACAGTGTAGGTTACAGGTCTACTGATCTAAAAGTGTAGGTTACAGGCTACTGATGTCACAGTGTAGGTTACAGGTCTACTGATGTCACAGTGAAGGTTACAGGTCTACTGATGTAACAGTGTAGGTTACAGGTCTACTGATGTCACAGTGTAGGTTACAGGTCTACTGATGTAACAGTGTAGGTTACAGGTCTACTGATGTCACAGTGTAGGTTACAGGTCTACTGATGTCACAGTGTAGGTTACAGGTCTACTGATGTAACAGTGTAGGTTACAGGTCTACTGATGTCACAGTGTAGGTTACAGGTCTACTGATGTAACAGTGTAGGTTACAGGACTACTGATGTAACAGTGTAGGTTACAGGTCTACTGATGTCACAGTGTAGGTTACAGGTCTACTGATGTAACATTGTAGATCTTGTATCAGCTGTACAACTCATGTACCTTAGTCATCAGTTATTATAGAAAAAACTGATAATGTGTGATAGGAAGGTGAACTGGTCATTATTCAAGGGGGAAATCTAGCACACATCATCATAGCACGTTAGTGGACAAATCACTTAGTAAAACTGACCATTAGTGGGCTAGTCACATTGACCAAGTGCTCAACAGTCAAAGAGCCACACTGACCAGGGCTGGACCAGTCACATAATCAACCTTTCTTAGAAAATAAAAAATCAGGGAAATTGTCAAGAAAGTCTGCTACAATGCTATGTTGAAAATTATATACAAAGAATACCCAGCATGATTCTGCCAGTAACGTGGGTTTACTGGACAGAGATTTTATAGTGACTTGAATGAGCAGAAAAAGTCAACACTTTAAATCAATATCATAAAGTCAGTTTCTTCAGACTTTCAGTGACATTTTCTTGAAGGTTAGCTTTGTCAGTCTCCTTTTTATAAGGCTCAATCATATTTCTTCCTTCCATGTCACCAGATCTTGGTGACCTTGATTCAAGACATCCATCCTGATCTCCCTCTTTCACTTGTGCATAGACACCAGGATCTATCTGTGTATCTTTTTCCAGATCACTTGTATCATTCTGCACTGTGTTTGTTTGCCTACTGTCTTTGAATTCTTTGCCAAGATCTGCTGAGGACTCGGATGTGTATTTGATACATGTTTCACTGCTATTTTTTCTTTCAGTCTTTTCGGACTTTCCTGTCATTGCAGCAGATGGTGTTGGATGTGTCGTCTTCACTAGTACAGCCTCTGCTCTTATTACCTCTGACGCTACACCACTCTGTGAGCAGTACCATTCTGTGTCACCATCAACTTCTGTATCAGAAAGATCCTCTTGTTCTTCACAAGGGCTTTCATTGGAATCCCACACAAGCCTGACATTATCTTGTGCCTGAGAATCGCCATCAGTCTCCAAGTCGCCAGCTTCTGTAGCGTCCATACCCCCATAACTAGGATATTGTTGCTGAGCAGACAACATGTTCTGGATGTCTTGGGTGGTTCTCTGGAGAGCAGGGCTGAAGGTATGATGTACTGGGAAATTTGTGGGAGGTTGGACTGGAGCCTGGTCCCTACTGTCGAGACTAGAACCAATGGAAAACATGGGCTGATTTAGCAACTGAGCCACATCATCTGGAAATGTCAGCTGTGAGTTTTCCTGCCCATCAGCATTGCGCATGACAGCCTGTTGAAGACTTTGGAGCAATGCATTAACTGAATTTTCATCCATTTTCTGGGGTTCACTGACTACCTGCTGACTGGTTACTTGTCCTGGTGATCCAGCCACCAGGTCCCGCATGATTTTCTGAATATTCATTTCATCTGACTGAGAATAGTTGCTTCCTCCAGTACCAGCCAAAGTGGTGGCAGTTGATGCTGGCCTGTTGAAGCTGGTCTCCATGGAAATGTCCCTGTCTGAACCATCTGATCCACTAGGCAAAAGAAGGGACACTGGACTATAGGAAATAGGATCAGCCCCATTACCTGACATAGACTGGAGGTTTGGATCATGACCTTTTGTGAGGAGATTGGTCACCTCTTCTCCATCCGAGATCATAGCAATGTTTTGGTAACATGTTCCTCCATATGTATCGACTGGCTCCTTCTTCACGATCGGCTGAGGAAGTTGTAATTGAGGATTAACGCCGTAGTGACGGACAGTTTGTTCAGTTGTAGCAGAGCTAGTCTGATTACCCATTGATGGTGACTTGAAGTTTGGCAGGAAACCTAAATGCAAGAAGAAAACTTAGTAAAACATTTACAAGGCCATAAGTATCAAATAATAACAGCCAATTAGAAGCTATGTATTAAAACAGCCAATCAGAAGCTGTGTCATCATGATATGTATTTTGACAGCCAATGAGAAGCTGTCTCATAATTTATTACAGCCAAACAGAAGCTGTGTCATTACAATTTATATTACAAAAGGTCATTAGAAGCCATGTATTATTACAGTCTAATAGAACCCAGGTTATCATGATTTATATTATAACAGGTTATTATCAGCCATGTTATCATGATTTATATTATAACAGGTTATTATCAGCCATGTTATCATGATTTATATTATAACAGGTTATTATCAGCCATGTTATGATTTATATTATAACAGGTTACTATCAGCCATGTTATCATGATTTATATTATAACAGGTTACTATCAGCCATGTTATCATGATTTATATTATAACAGGTTATTATCAGCCATGTTATCATGATTTATATTATAACAGGTTACTATCAGCCATGTTATCATGATTTATATTATAACAGGTTACTATCAGCCATGTTATCATGATTTATAATATGAAAGGCAAATAGAAGCTGGGTTATTGTTATTTATATCATAACAGCCAAAAAATTCTAATGGCAGGGACTCCAAGAGATGTAATATCCCCCTACCCCCCAATTCCCAATCCCAAGGGGTTTTTTTGTATACATTTATTTTTTTTTAATTGGTCAAGGATGACATTTGACCTTCGACCAATTAAAGGGTTCATGCGATATTTTTTACACATGGTTTGAAATTCAAAAGCAGTAAAGGATGACTTTTGACCTTAAACCTTGACCAATGATCAACAAAATCATGTGTGAATATAAAGTAAATATGTACATGGGTTCATGACACTAAGTTATCATGGACACACACACAGAAACATAAAAATAAGTTATTAGTCAACACCTTCCTTCACTTATATTTATATATCTATAGCTGTGTTATCATGATTCATGATATATGAGCCAATTAGAAGGTGGAATTGAAACAAATTTCACTGATAAAACATTATCTAACCTCCACTGCCTAGTTTCTTTGTCCTTGAGGGTTTCAGCACAGGTCGTCTCTGGTTAGTGTGGATACTGGTGTCAATCCCAGACTCTAAAATAAACCATTGTAATAACAATCATGTTTCCTACCATACACATGAAATGATATGATTATAATGTAGAATTTATTCTAAACTCATTCTACATACATTGTCAGGTTTCAACCTTCATCACTGTTATACACACTCAGGTTTCATCCTTCATCACTGTTATACACTCTCAGGTTTCATCCCTCATCACTATTATACACTCTCAGGTTTCATCCCTCATCACTGTTATACACTTTCAGGTTTCATCCCTCATCACTGTTATACACTCTCAGGTTTCATCCCTCATCACTGTTATACACGCTCAGGTTTCATCATTCATCACTGTTATACACTCTCAGGTTTCATCCCTCATCACTGTTATACACTTTCAGGTTTCATCATTCATCACTGTTATACACGCTCAGGTTTCATCCCTCATCACTGTTATACACTCTCAGATTTCATCCCTCATCACTGTTATACACTGTCAGGTTTCATCCCTCATCACTGTTATACACTGTCAGGTTTCATCCCTCATCACTGTTATACACTTTCAGGTTTCATCATTCATCAGAGGTTTCATCCCTCATCACTGTTATACACTTTCAGGTTTCATCATTCATCACTGTTATACACGCTCAGGTTTCATCCCTCATCACTGTTATACACTTTCAGGTTTCATCATTCATCACTGTTATACACACTCAGGTTTCATCCTTCATCACTGTTATACACTCTCAGATTTCATCCCTCATCACTGTTATACACTGTCAGCTTTCACCCTACATCACTGCTATATACTGTCATGACTCACCCAGCATACAATTTTATACACTGTCAGGACTCACCCTACATACAATGTTTTACACTGTCAGGCCTAATCTTACATACAAATTATTCACTGTCAGGCATCATTCAACATACAATTCTATACTCTGTCAGGACTCACCCTCCATACAAAGTTCTTCTTGGTCACTACTAACCCTACATACAATTTTATACACTGTCAAGACTTACCTTGCATACAATTTTTTACACTGTCAGGACTTACCCTACATACCAATTATTCACTGTTAGGCCTCACTCAACATACAATTTTATACACTGTTAGGCCTCACTCAAAATACAATTTTATACACTGTTAGGCCTCACTCAACATATAATTTTATACACTGTTAGTCCTCACCCAACATACAATTTTATACACCGTCAGAACTTACCCTGTTTGCAATTTTACATATAGCACATACAATGTAATTATCATAAAAAAGTGACACATACCTAGAAGTAACTCTGGGGGAGCACAATATTCGACTGCCATCTTTCGTTTCTTTGCCATCACTGTTTCTAAAAAAATCAAGAGGCCCCAGGGCCTTTACTGTTACCTGAGTCACAATGCTTCTTGTAACATGTCACAGAAAAGTAAGATATCTTTAACTACATTGTACACATAATGCAAACATTAACTTTGCATAATATTAACTGCTATTCCATGCTAAGGCTTCTAACTAAGTTTAAATTAAAAGAAATTACACTAAAAAATTGAATTTTCCTACCTTGGAATCATGAAATTCATAATTTTTGTAAAACACCTTAAGAAACTTCCATCAAAGAAGAGTATTTGGTTCTACTTTATCTGGGTGTCGAGAAGAAGATTTTTGAAATTTCAGTCAATGTGACCCATTTTTGGCCCCACCTATCAGTCCCTGGGGGATAGCTGAGGTCAATAAGTTCACCTCACCAAACTGTCAGCTTATACTAATAATTCTAACCAAGTTTGAACTATTTCTAAATGAAAATATACAAATTACACTCAAAAATGTTATCTACCTATATAAACTATAGTAAATTTCACCTCCTTCCCAAGGGGATATGTGAGAACCTAGAGTGTTGAAATTTACAATTTGGTAATTGATGGCCTTTCCATTCTACTTGGGATCTGACCCTTTTTGGCTCTGCCTCTCAGAGACCTGGGGTCAAATACCATATACTTTACAAATTTAGTGTGCCTTTAGCCATGGAAGATTTTTGTAAAATTTCATTGAAATCAGTTCAGGTGTTTTCCAGGAAGAAGTAAAATATGTTACAAAATCAGATCACCAAAAAAAAATAAAAATATTATTAATCACATATACTCATCATCACTTTGAAAACCTTGAGTTCTCATAGAAGGGTTTAATTTTGAAAAGATTATGTAAATACATATTCACACTTGTACTCAATGTTACATCATGTACAGTGTAAACATAATGCTCCAACCAAATGTGTGTTATCAACTGGAAAATCACTTGACTATATGTTTCCCCAAAGCTTTAAAGCTGAAAAACATACCCTCATTTTCATGATATGTCAAGTTACATGTGAAGGGCTCAGTAAGCCCTAAAGTCAAAAGTTTCCCCACTTTCTTGATATGCAATGTTACATTTTTGAGCTCAGTTAGCACTGAAGTTCAATCTTACCCTCATTTTCTTTGTACATGAAGTTATATGCAGCCACCATAGACTTCTGTTTATCATGAATCCTGATGATCACTTCTCTAGCTCCTAACAGTTCTTGGTCTTTATAAGGAGGTACCTCACATTCAATACACTGAAAAATATACCACCTCATACTCAATCTATTTAAACATATACCACACCACAAACTCACTAGAATATAAGAGGCCCAGAGACTCGCACAGATCTTAAAACAGGAATGCAAAAATTATCATAAAGTACATAAAAAATGACGGCTAGGTTCAAATATAACAGAGATTGCTCCTGATACTTTGGGTTACAAGAAGTGGTGTATGACTTCAATAAATCCAGTCTGAGAAATTAAAGGTCACTTTTAGTAGCAATACACTACAGGTATGTGTTCCAGCTGGAATAATATCCAGACTCTTGAGTATTGTGAAACTTCAGAAAAAGATTCTTTAATGTTTTAAATATATCTGACGTCTGTGACCTTAAAAAATAGGTCAGTGTCAGTGTTAAGAGGAAATTTTGTATCCCCTTGTCCCAGGAGACAGACTAATGTGTAAGTTGTATAGGAGTACCTACATTGTAGGGAGACAGAGTAATGTGTTAGTGGTATAGGAGTACCTACATTGTAGGACAGAGACAGACTAATGTGTTAGTGGTATAGGAGTACCTACATTGTAGGACAGTGACAGAGTAATGTGTTAGTGGTATAGGAGTACCTACATTGTAGGACAGAGACAGATTAATGTGTTAGTGGTATAGGAGTACCTACATTGTAGGACAGAGACATACTAATGTGTTAGTGGTATAGGAGTACCTACATTGTAGGACAGAGACAGAGTAATGTGTTAGTGGTATAGGAGTACCTACATTGCAGGACAGAGACAGACTAATGTGTTAGTGGTATAGGAGTACCTACATTGTAGGACAGAGACACACTAATGTGTTAGTGGTATAGGAGTACCTACATTGTAGGACAGAGACAGACTAATGTGTTAGTGGTATAGGAGTACCTACATTGTAGGACAGAGACAGACTAATGTGTTAGTGGTATAGGAGTACCTACATTGTAGGACAGAGACAGACTAATGTGTTAGTGGTATAGGAGTACCTACATTGTAGGACAGAGACAGACTAATGTGTTAGTGGTATAGGAGTACCTACATTGTAGGACAGAGACAGACTAATGTGTTAGTGGTATAGGAGTACCTACATTGTAGGACAGAGACAGAGTAATGTGTTAGTGGTATAGGAGTACCTACATTGCAGGACAGAGACAGACTAATGTGTTAGTGGTATAGGAGTACCTACATTGTAGGACAGAGACACACTAATGTGTTAGTGGTATAGGAGTACCTACATTGTAGGACAGAGACAGACTAATGTGTTAGTGGTATAGGAGTACCTACATTGTAGGACAGAGACAGACTAATGTGTTAGTGGTATAGGAGTACCTACATTGTAGGACAGAGACAGACTAATGTGTTAGTGGTATAGGAGTACCTACATTGTAGGACAGAGACAGACTAATGTGTAAGTTGTACAGGAGTACCTACATTGTAGGACAGAGACAGAGTAATGTGTTAGTGGTATAGGAGTACCTACATTGTAGGACAGAGACAGACTAATGTGTTAGTGGTATAGGAGTACCTACATTGTAGGACAGAGACAGACTAATGTGTTAGTGGTATAGGAGTACCTACATTGTAGGACAGAGACAGACTAATGTGTTAGTGGTATAGGAGTACCTACATTGTAGGACAGAGACAGACTAATGTGTTAGTGGTATAGGAGTACCTACATTGTAGGACAGAGACAGACTAATGTGTAAGTTGTATAGGAGTACCTACATTGTAGGACAGAGACAGACTAATGTGTTAGTGGTATAGGAGTACCTACATTGTAGGACAGAGACAGACTAATGTGTTAGTGGTATAGGAGTACCTACATTGTAGGACAGAGACAGACTAATGTGTTAGTGGTATAGGAGTACCTACATTGTAGGACAGAGACAGACTAATGTGTTAGTGGTATAGGAGTACCTACATTGTAGGACAGAGACAGACTAATGTGTAAGTGTATAGGAGTACATTGTAGGACAGAGACAGACTAATGTGTAAGTTGTATAGGACTACCTACATTGTAGGACAGAGACAGACTAATGTGTTAGTGGTATAGGAGTACCTACATTGTAGGACAGAGACAGACTAATGTGTTAGTGGTATAGGAGTACCTACATTGTAGGACAGAGACAGACTAATGTGTTAGTGGTATAGGAGTACCTACATTGTAGGACAGAGACAGACTAATGTGTGAGTGGTATAGGAGTACCTACATTGTAGGACAGAGACAGACTAATGTGTAAGTTGTATAGGAGTACCTACATTGTAGGACAGAGACAGACTAATGTGTTAGTGGTATAGGAGTACCTACATTGTAGGACAGAGACAGACTAATGTGTTAGTGGTATAGGAGTACCTACATTGTAGGACAGAGACAGACTAATGTGTTAGTGGTATAGGAGTACCTACATTGTAGGACAGAGACAGACTAATGTGTTAGTGGTATAGAGAGTACCTACATTGTAGGACAGAGACAGACTAATGTGTTAGTGGTATAGGAGTACCTACATTGTAGGACAGAGACAGACTAATGTGTTAGTGGTATAGGAGTACCTACATTGTAGGACAGAGACAGACTAATGTGTTAGTGGTATAGGAGTACCTACATTGTAGGACAGAGACAGACTAATGTGTTAGTGGTATAGGAGTACCTACATTGTAGGACAGAGACAGACTAATGTGTTAGTGGTATAGGAGTACCTACATTGTAGGACAGAGACAGACTAATGTGTTAGTGGTATAGGAGTACCTACATTGTAGGACAGAGACAGACTAATGTGTTAGTGGTATAGGAGTACCTACATTGTAGGACAGAGACAGACTAAATGTGTAAGTGGTATAGGAGTACCTACATTGTAGGACAGAGACAGACTAATGTGTTAGTGGTATATGAGTACTTACATTGTAGGACAGAGACAGACTAATGTGTTAGTGGTATAGGAGTACCTACATTGTAGGACAGAGACAGACTAATGTGTTAGTATGGTAATAGGAGTACCTACATTGTAGGACAGAGACAGACTAATGTGAGTACCTACATTGTAGGACAGAGACAGACTAATGTGTTAGTGGTATAGGAGTACCTACATTGTAGGACAGAGACAGACTAATGTGTTAGTGGTATAGGAGTACCTACATTGTAGGACAGAGACAGACTAATGTGTTAGTGGTATAGGAGTACCTACATTGTAGGACAGAGACAGACTAATGTGTTAGTGGTATAGGAGTACCTACATTGTAGGACAGAGACAGACTAATGTGTTTGGTATGGTACATTGTAGACAGAGTAATGTGTTAGTGGTATAGGAGTACCTACATTGTAGGACAGAGACAGAGTAATGTGTTAGTGGTATAGGAGTACCTACATTGTAGGACAGAGACAGAGTAATGTGTTAGTGGTATAGGAGTACCTACATTGTAGGACAGAGACAGAGTAATGTGTTAGTGGTATAGGAGTACCTACATTGTAGGACAGAGACAGAGTAATGTGTTAGTGGTATAGGAGTACCTACATTGTAGGACAGAGACAGACTAATGTGTTAGTGGTATAGGAGTACCTACATTGTAGGACAGAGACAGACTAATGTGTTAGTGGTATAGGAGTACCTACATTGTAGGACAGAGACAGACAGAGTACCTACAGTAGGACAGACTAATGTGTTAGTGGTATAGGAGTACCTACATTGTAGGACAGAGACAGACTAATGTGTTAGTGGTATAGGAGTACCTACATTGTAGGACAGAGACAGACTAATGTGTTAGTGGTATAGGAGTACCTACATTGTAGGACAGAGACAGACTAATGTGTTAGTGGTATAGGAGTACCTACATTGTAGGACAGAGACAGACTAATGTGTAAGTTGTATAGGAGTACCTACATTGTAGGACAGAGACAGACTAATGTGTTAGTGGTATAGGAGTACCTACATTGTAGGACAGAGACAGACTAATGTGTTAGTGGTATAGGAGTACCTACATTGTAGGACAGAGACAGACTAATGTGTTAGTGGTATAGGAGTACCTACATTGTAGGACAGAGACAGACTAATGTGTAAGTTGTATAGGAGTACCTACATTGTAGGACAGAGACAGACTAATGTGTAAGTTGTATAGGAGTACCTACATTGTAGGACAGAGACAGACTAATGTGTTAGTGGTATAGGAGTACCTACATTGTAGGACAGAGACAGACTAATGTGTTAGTGGTATAGGAGTACCTACATTGTAGGACAGAGACAGACTAATGTGTTAGTGGTATAGGAGTACCTACATTGTAGGACAGAGACAGACTAATGTGTAAGTTGTATAGGAGTACCTACATTGTAGGACAGAGACAGACTAATGTGTAAGTTGTATAGGAGTACCGACATTGTAGGACAGAGACAGACTAATGTGTAAGTTGTATAGCAGTACCTACATTGTAGGACAGAGACAGACTAATATGTTAGTGGTATAGGAGTACCTACATTGTAGGAGAGAGACAGACTGATGTGTTAGTGGTATAGGAGTACCTACATTGTAGGACAGAGACAGACTAATGTGTAAGTTATATAGGAGTACCTACATTGTAGGACAGAGACAGACTAATGTGTTAGTGGTATAGGAGTACCTACATTGTAGGACAGAGACAGACTAATGTGTTAGTGGTATAGGAGTACCTACATTGTAGGACAGAGACAGACTAATGTGTTAGTGGTATAGGAGTACCTACATTGTAGGACAGAGACAGACTAATGTGTTAGTGGTATAGGAGTACCTACATTGTAGGACAGAGACAGACTAATGTGTTAGTGGTATAGGAGTACCTACATTGTAGGACAGAGACTAATGTGTTAGTGGTATAGGAGTACCTACATTGTAGGACAGAGACAGACTAATGTGTTAGTGGTATAGGAGTACCTACATTGTAGGACAGAGACAGACTAATGTGTTAGTGGTATAGGAGTACCTACATTGTAGTGGTATAGGAGTACCTACATTGTCAGACAGAGACAGACTAATGTGT